GAGAAGAGAGCATGTTGAGTGATCAGTTGGTATGCTTGTTTGCGCATCTTCTGCCTATGCCTCATTTGTATATTCTCTCCTACAGAAGAATGAGCTGATGGAGATGCTTCAGCTTTCTGCTCAACTCGAGTTGACCTACGCCCACCTCTGGGACTATACGCTGGTGAATGACGATCTGCCAGTCGCCTTGGAGCAGCTTTCCGAATTGGCATATCGCCAGGAAACCGAGGCGGCTTGGGTTCCGCAGAAATGGCTGTCCACGCGGTCTGACAACAGTTCCCCGAGTTCGCAAGGTTCTGTGGAATCCAGACTCAAGACTGCCTCAGTCGCTGCCTCCCTCTCCGACGAGGGCGCCATCTTCCTTCCCAATTCTGCTCTTCTTGGAGGTAGCTTCTCGAGAATGAGGAGCACATTTGCCTCACGCTTGTCCCTGCTGACAGACAGCGCTACCAAATCGTCCGCTTCCTGTTCCGCAGCATCAAGTCCACTTCATTCGGTCCGACATAACCGTGCTTAGGCGGGCGCCTCTTGCCAACCTACATTGTGTCGGCCTAGCAACTGGCCACTTGAGAGTTACAAAATATCAACTTTTTTGGTAGCGTTCAAGCGTAGGGTTTCACAATCGGTCTTGGTTGACTTGTCGATATGAAGAGCCAACATCAAATGCACACGCGGATTCTCTTCGCTTCGAACTTTTTGGTTGTCTGCCCATCGTCACCTCGTCTCTCTACAGCTTTGCCCTTCTTCCTAGCGACATTAGGCAGGGCTGGAAGACTCTTCTGCTTCCCATTCTTCTATCCATCTTTCGCCCAACACCTCCTTTCTATACTTCATTCCCAAACCCCAGCAGCACACTCATACATCCGTGCCCACATCTGCATTCCCTTGCACTCACCTCTACTCTTTGGGCGGAAAATGTATCAAGTTCTTTGCCAGTTTTCCATCGCTTGAGCATCTGCAGCATTTCGTAGATGTGCACATCCTGCCTCGACATGTTCCGAGTCGAAGGAACCAAGTTAGTGAAGATGCAGCCGAGCTCCTGCATGTTTATCAAGCTAGCTTTGCCCAGCTTGACCGGCTTGGCTGCCTGAGCCCTAACTTGTCGCAGGGTTAGTTCAGCATTTTCTCTTTTGATGATCATGCATTCGACTTGAACTGGAGTAGTATTTGGGTCTCGACACATGTTCCTATTCCATCCCATCCTGCCACACGTGTTCTAGACTGATGTATATTTAATTTGTTGAGTCTGGACAACCATGAACCCCTTTTTCACTTCCCAGCTTTTGTTTAAACTTATTTAGTTTACAAAATATTTTCTAATTTTTTCTTATGCTATACATTTATTTTGAGACTCCTTTCTCAGAATTGTCTGCATTTATACATTCATTTGAATTGTGTTCATCCTATTTCGTGTAAGGTGATGAAAGACTGGTAGTTGATTTTTCTAATAATGCTATTAGTAGAACTGATGTTTTCCATTCAATTTCACATAGCTTTGCTTTCCCAAGAGATATTCTCATCCCGACTGAAGTGGACTGCAGTTTCGACCTCGCATCGGTCTTATCAACACCTCCAGCGTAGTCGGAGCATGACAGTGCAGCCTGTAAGGTCGACACGTTAAACGCTACGTCTCATTGCCACGAGCGCCCTTGGGTCGCAGGGAAGATGTGAATTTCAGCAAATGCCAAGCAATT